ACATGAAGACTTCAAGACATTGTGCACTCCCAATCACCCCCGACAACTAGCAATCGTCTCCGGCCTGTCCGTCTGCGCAAACCTCACCAACTCATTCACCTGCACCCACCGCTCGTCCTCATGTCCCTCATAAGAACGCACGCACTTCAAATCGGGAAACAAACCATTCAAATACCGCCCGATGCGAAAAGCGTCCCACGCATCCCAATCGTCTACTACCGATGCAATCATGAGCGTCTTCAGTTCATGTTTGAGCTCTGAATATAATAGTTTCCTCGATGATAAAAAGGGTTGTACTGCTTGTATGTCGCTCGTATCTAGGGGTATCCGCAGTTCCGTAAGCTTGGGACAACGTTCCACGAGGACTCGAAGAGACTTCATCCTCGGCCGTATACGAGTGGGAGGGAGGAACGGGAGAAGGAGGCCATTCAAGTTTGGCCAGGTCTTCGCCCACTCTTCTATCAGGTCATCGCTGATATCCATGAATTATCCACGTAGACTGAGCGTGCAGAGGTTGTGTAAAGGGAATAAAGGCTTTAATGTGTCGAGAGGTAACTCTTCCGCCTCCGCGTCCTCTGGTGTTAATCTGAGCCCGAAACATCGTAAGGAGCTAGACCAGCGCGAAACAAAGTCCTCAACCAAGAGTTTCATGTCAAATCCTGGTTCAGGAGGTGAAAGGCAGACAAAGGTGTCTAGTTGGTCCGTGGATATGTTGGCAACGAACGATTGGATGAATGGGAGCGATGCGGAGATGGTAAGATTCCTTAGGTGTCTAAAGCCTATGATATTCGCCAAGGGAGGTATTGGTGAGTCTATGAAATCCAATTCGAGGTCTGTAAGCGCCGACAGTGCCCCAGCCCCTCTCCCCTCAGTATAATCTGTCTCCAGGGTTCCTTGCCTCTCGACGCGTTTCATTTGCTTACACCTAGATGTGGTGTTTTGTTAGTTAAAAACGTGACGTAGAAAGATGAAAAAAAGGGAGACTTACTGATCGCAAACAGTCCTAGGACCCATCGGCCCAGGGCCCCATTTTTCAATGCACTTGTTGTCTTTATACCGTCTTGGGAAACCGCATTGTCTGCAGATCCTCTGGCCTTGGGCGTTTGTGGCTGGGAAGACTTGGGCGGGCGGTGCGACGATCGGTGCGTTGATTGGGCCTTGGAAATTAGTCAGTTAGTATGTTCATTAAGGATGAAGGAGACGGGATGGGGAAATGGAAAGGGAAGAAGATTTGTGTGAAGTAACACGAGAAAAGAATAAGTCGGAGATAAGAATTGAGAAAAGATGCCAGGAAAGACATCAGTTAAATAGAAACAGAGCGAAGGGCGAGGAGAGGAGAGGTGTATGATAGAAAACTGAGAAAAGCAAAAAAATTGAAGCGTTGAAACGGATCGCATAGGAAAGAAGGCTTCTGATATCTGTCACCTGAAACACAGAAATCGAGAAGAGGGTATTGCCAGATGCAAGAGAGCAAACAGACGACGTCCGTTCCTCGACAAGACGATCCAAAGGCCAGAAGGAACACGCGACTTACCTCCTGCTGGTCCTCCAGGCCCCCCAGCCAACGCACCCACAATCCCCCCTCCTCCAATACTACTCCCACTAACCGAATACTTTGGCTTCAACGACCGGTGCAAAGACATGAGTCTGATACTGCTGAACCTGACCCGGCTGAACGAGTGGACCAGGTTGTCCCGCCGGCTATCTCACGTCCTTCCTCAGGACAGACTGATTAGCCGGATACACATACCCAGCCCCTCTTGTGCTTGTTGACCCTCGTAAACGTGTACGCGCCTGCTGCTACTACCCCTCCTCGGCGTGTCTTCGTGAGTGGTGGCTCTACAGATGCGGGGACCCATTTTGAGATGCGGTTGTAGTTGGTAAAGGAAGACTCGCCATATGCGGTGGTTGTTGTGGTCGTTGATTCGCAGCGATGCCGTTGATGGCGTCGGCTGTAGTGGCTTCAAAGAGCATCTCATCAATGTCCAATGAAGCGCTGCTAGAGCGACTTGAAGACCTTGAATGGGGTCTACACGAAAGCGCATGATGGGGATGGTGTTGTTGATGGCAATGGAGATGTGAATGTGACGAAGGGAGGGTGTGTGGGTGCGGTTTGTGGTGATCGCCGGGGGACATGATGACTCTAGGAGCGGACGGGGTAGGGGGCGGGTATCCATGCTGCTCCAGATGGATATGCTGAGCCGAGGGATAAGGACGTAAGAGAAGTGCGCTCGTTGAAATCGAGGTGTGGTACTTACCAAGTCGGAATAAGACATCCTCGGTTCTCCATTCCCGTGGGATCGTTTTGATGGTGGGTGGGTGTATTTGCTTTCTAAGCTTGGCGTGCGTGCTCTGCGGGATGTTGTCGTGGTTGATGAAGAACTAGTAGGGGGTGTTAAAGCAGGAAAAGGGGTCCTTGTAGCATGTCTCCTCGGTGGTTGAGAAGTTGGCGGTGGTGGAGGTGCCATGGAGGATGTACCCAGCAACGGAGTACCAATGAATCCCAAAGTCAACTGGCCTCCCTCACTAACAATCCTCCCAAACGCCTCTCTCGCTTCCTGATTACGCAAGTCACCCACCTGCAGCCAACGATCGAGTTGCGTCCAATTCTCCAAGACGGCCCTTCTCCTTGACTCCGCTTCGTCCCTTGCTATCTCCGCCCTCTGTACTCGATCCTCATACTCGATAATAACGCACTTCGCCGACGATTCGGACGAGGGCGACGACGACGACGCATCCGTTAGCGTTTGCAACAGCCGCTCAGCCTTTTCCGCGTGTTTCCTCGTATTCGTCAATTTCTTCTTCAACGCCTCGTTCTCCGTATATGTCTCCGTCAACAACGTCGACAGCTGCAGGTTTGAACTCGCAGTCCTTGTCGTCGTCAGCGTATTTGCATTGGTAGGCACCGTATCTTGCGGGGAGGCAGACACGGGGTAGCTGATGAAGATGATGCAAGGTGGCAAAGGGGCTTTGGATGCCAGTATCATGAAAGTTGGTAGGCACAGGTTGGAAGTGGTACCCATAGAATTAGTTCGTGAGCCAGGAAATTGGTCACTCGACGGCTCGAGAGCTGTTAGCGCGAGTCGGAGTTTGCAACAGCCTCGAGGACTGACAGAGAGCGGTTGCGTCAAGCTTTACCAGGCATCTCCAAGCACTCGAAGACTGACGGAGAGCGGTTGCGTCTAGCTTTACCAGGCATCTCCAAGCCCCCTGACTCATGGTCGCGCGTCCCAGGGTCAAGTACTGTCAAGTACAAACGTTAACAGACGTTAATGTCGGAACTCAGTACTCAGTGTTTGTCTTTGTTGTACTGGGAGCTTCCACATCAACACATTACTACTTGTAAACAGGCTTTCGAGCTGAAATAATTACAGCACGCAAACAACACGTTAATTTTACCACCTAACTTTGACCCAAGAAGCTTGGATTCGATTCGGAAAGAGCACAAACTATATGAGGTCCCGGTCAACTTTGATCATGAATCACAAACACGCCACTCTTCCCCAAACATGGCGCAAATACTTAATACGACTTGGCTCGTGTCCGCAAGCTACGTTCAAGAAACGGCTGGTTCCTGGGACAAAAGAACACCTTTGGCAGGGTCACGCTTTTGTGACGCGGGACTTGCTACACAATCACAACGTCAACGCAACTCCCACTGGGTGGCGTGGTACATGGGACTCAAGCTTCGGGTTCTTCCCATAACTTGACAACAAACTGATGTCGTAACTTTCCCTTTTTCTTTTAACTTGAAAAAGGTTGACCCAAATTGTTTCTCGCCATCCAGCCACTCCTTAAAATCGGCTTGCACCATAGCAGATATCTCAGAATTACCCCATTTCGTTCTTGACAATACGTTCGCGTTCTTCGTCTTTCGCCTCTCGATCTCCACTGAGTATTTTTACAGTTTTGGTGCGGCTTTCGTTGGGTTGGTGGTGGCAACGACGTGAGTCTCTATCGTGCCCTGTCATTTTTTTTACTCATCGCTTCAACAGGCTGCACGGAGGTGTGTTTTATGCTCTCGTTTGTTTGTTATTTCTCTAAACCGGCTCCTCCAGTTGCTTGCAGTCAATTTTGGTACTACTATACCCACCACAGCGATCGATGGCCAATCAGACTTCTCATACTATGACTGACTTAACGGCGAGGTTGTCTCGCAATCTCATACCGTTTCATAGGTCGCCGTCATGGCATTTGACACAATATACCAAACACTTATCACGCATACTGGTAAGTTTGCGTCATTTGCCTCAGATTCCATTGATTATGGCCGTCGCAGTTTATATATATACCATTTCGAATTGGGGAAATCCCAAAATTCTTGGCCGACTTGTCTGGTACGCATGTCCTGTTTGGCGTTCAATGTTCATGTTCGCATGCTGACTTTTGGAACTGCAGGAGCATGTTGGTCGAAGTGTTATTCAACGTGGGTATGATTAGTGTCTCCACCGATAGGACTGATAGGCCTGTTGGTGGTTGGGTTTTCGGTACAGGGTTTCACGGCGTTCCTCGTTCAAAGGTCAATTTATATTATGGTACCTTCCAGTCCTCTTCCTCTGATTCTCTTCGTAGTTTTCTTGCAATGCGCATATGGAGATGTATGTTTTGAACACCAATTTATATCATGGTACCTTCCACTCCTCTTCCTCTGATTCTCTTCGTAGTTTTCTTGCAATGCGCATATGGAGATGTATGTTTCGAACACCGTCCCTCATCCATGCAATCTAACTAGCTGGCAGTAAGCAATCAAAATCCTTGGCTTACCCTTCTAATCATGAGTTTTCTTTCTCTTCTACTGACAGTTTAACAGCTCAAGTTGTGGTAGGGTTTACTCATAGCTGGGGAATCTGGTGTGCCTTTTGTTCGCATCACTATTTGGGTATTCGCTCACGCTGCCAACTCGCCGCCTGTAATTCAGGATGCATCTTAGGTCAGTGCCCCATGCCAACCATCGTCACGCTCACCTCACTAAAGATGAATTTGAAATTTAGCTTATGCAGTGTTATCGTACGTCTTGCTCCTTCTCCTTTGCTTCCTTCTTGATCTCCGCCCATGATAGACTGCGATGCGAGGGGCACAACACTTTTGGCGCGCCACGGGCGTGCGGGAGCGTGCAAACGTGGCATGAGAATAGGATTATTGGCGTGCATCGGCGTGCATGCACGCCTATTTTTACACATTCATAATATCGATTTGAGAGGCCACATATCAGTAGGGAAGAGGCACAGAGCTTCGAAAAAAGCAGATTTCTGATCTAACATGCAATTTGTGCTCAATAAAATATTTTATGGTCCACCAAAGGATGGCCATTGCTTGCAAATTTATACATATGCAAAGAAAATTTTACTCCCTTGCTTCATCAAGATACTTTCTCGTGAGGTACTGATTCATACAACATAAAAGTTACAGCTATCCCACCCAAAATTCAACTTTGTTCAATGGCAGAACAAGGGACACAACAATCATTGCTCTTCCTTGGGACTGGACTCCTACCTTGGCTCGATTTTAATTTCAACAATGAAAAAACTAATTGATAAAACAGACAGTGAATCTGAAATCGTTACGGTCAAGCCAAAATTCGCCTATCATTCAAAAGATGAGGTTGAAGTCATTGAATTGAGCCCATAGGGTGCAAGAAGTTGCACTAATTGAAAAGAGATGGATCACGACAGGGCATTCAGTAGATACCCAATGGGACCATAGTAGTTCACATGGTCAATTGTCCAATGGACCATAGGGCTACCCCAATGGGCCTAATCGTAGTTGACACCATTCGGCCATAGTTTGGCCCAATGTCTGTGAGATGTTAAGCTGGCATTGTTGGGGCCAACGTAACAAAACTATGAGAAGCATAATTGGGCCGAATGAGGGATACACAAAACGAATTGGGCCCATTGGGCCCAATCAAGACCCATGTTAAACTCCCAACAGCCAAGGTTGGGCCCAATATTGCAAGGCTATTACTTAGGCTATACTGCATTGTTGGGCCCAATGCTCCAACAATGCTCAGTGTAACAAATGCCGAATCTGGCGGAACCATAACCCTAACCCTGGCAATCCCTGTCAGTCCGATCGCCTTTGGCACAAAATGGGATACACATTGCAAATACAGTTGGTAGCACACATGCAGGCCATAAATCAATATTTCTATATCAGCCTGAAATCCTGTTAATCACTTGAATTCATTCTGGGTTAAAGATAACAGCTGGACATGCGACAGCCACCCTGGATGCATGGATAGCATGAGGCATGCTGTATCAAGGACACTTTTTTTGTATTTAACGGTCAATACCTCCTGGAATATTGTGTTGCCTCCCAAAAACTATGTGGACTCAATAGATATTAAAACCGAAGATTTTGTTGGCTGGTTGTGCCGAAATCCCTCCAGAAATATTGTGTTGCCTCCCAAGGACTGTGTGCACTCAATAGATATAAAAACCGAAGATTTTGTTGGCTGGTTGTGCCGAAATCCCTCTGGAAATATTGTGTTGCCTCCCAAGGACTATGTGCACTCGATAGATATAAAAACCAAAGATTTCGTTGGCTTGTAGTGCCAAAGTACCTCCGGAAATATTGTGTTGGCTCTCGGAGAATATGTGTACTCAACACATGTTAAAACCGAAGATTTTGTCAGTTCGTAGTGCTGAAATACCTCTGGAAATATTGTGTTGCCTCCCAAGGACTATGTGCACTCAATAGACATAAAAACCAAAGATTTCGTCAGCTGGTAGTGCCGAAGTACCTCCAGGAATATTGTGTTGCCTCCCAGAAAATATGTGCACTCAATAGATATCAAAATGGAAGATTTTGTCAGCTGGTAGTGCTGAAATACCTGTGGAAATATTGTGTTGGCTCTCAGAGAATATGTGCACTCAACACATGTTAAAACCGAAGATTTTGTCAGCTGGTAGTGCTGAAATACCTCCGGAAACATTGTGTTGCCTCCCAAAGAATATGCGCACTCAACACATGTTAAAACCGAAGATTTTGTCAGCTCGTAGTGCCGAAGTACCTCCAGAAACATTGTGTTGCCTCCCAAAGAATATGTGCACTCAAGACATGTTAAAATTGAAGATTTTGTTGGCTGGTAGTGCCAAATACCTCCGGAAACATTGTGTTGCCTCCCAAAGAATATGCGCACTCAACACATGTTAAAACCGAAGATTTTGTCAGCTCGTAGTGCCGAAGTACCTCCAGAAACATTATGTTGCCTCCCAAAGAATATGTGCACTTAATAGATATTAAAATTGAAGATTTTGTCGGCTGGTAGTGCTGAAATACCTCCGGAAACATTGTGTTGCCTCCCAAGGAATATGCGCACTCAACACATGTTAAAACCGAAGATTTTGTCAGCTCGTAGTGCCGAAGTACCTCCAGAAACATTGTGTTGCCTCCCAAAGAATATGTGCACTCAAGACATGTTAAAATTGAAGATTTTGTTGGCTGGTAGTGCCAAAGTACCTCCGGAAATATTGTGTTGCCTCCCAAAGAATATGCGCACTCAACACATGTTAAAACCGAAGATTTTGTCAGCTCGTAGTGCCGAAATACCTCCAGAAACATTGTGTTGCCTCCCAAAGAATATGTGCACTCAAGACATGTTAAAATTGAAGATTTTGTTGGCTGGTAGTGCCGAAATACCTCCGGAAACATTGTGTTGCCTCCCAAAGAATATGTGCACTCAACACATGTTAAAACCAAAGATTTCGTCGGCTCGTAGTGCCGAAGTACCTCCAGAAACATTGTGTTGCCTCCCAAAGAATATGTGCACTCAAGACATGTTAAAATTGAAGATTTTGTTGGCTGGTAGTGCCAAAGTACCTCCGGAAACATTGTGTTGCCTCCCAAAGAATATGTGCACTCAACACATGTTAAAACCAAAGATTTCGTCGGCTGGTAGTGCCGAAGTACCTCCAGGAATATCATGTTGCCTCCCAGAAAATATGTGCACTTAATAGATATTAAAACCGAAGATTTCATCGGCTGGTAGTGCCGAAATACCTCCAGAAACATTGTGTTGCCTCCCAAAGAATATGTGCACTCAAAACATGTTAAAACTGAAGATTTCATCAGCTCGTTGTGCCGAAATCTCTCCGGAAATATTGTGTTGCCTCCCAAATACTATGTGCATTGAATAGATATTAAAACCGAAGATTTCATCAGCTGGTAGTGCCGAAATACCTCCGGAAATATTGTGTTGCCTCTCTAGAAGCCAAAGTAGCTGTGAAACCCAAAGATTTCAGCTTCTGTTAGTGCCAAAATTCTTCTTTGATCTCCTGGAAACATTGCTTGACCCTCTGGGAACATTGTTTGAGTTTGACCCTCCAGGAACATTGTTTGACCTTCCAGGAACATTGTCTAACCATACACTACTATTCTTTCACTGTCTGGAAACATTGTTTCACCTAGTGTTCGAAAGTCCGGTTAGGTCTGGTTATTGGGTGCCCAGGGGCTCTAACCGAGATCGAGACCGGTTAGCCTTTGTCCCGAAACCTAAAATAACCTAACCGAACCGCAACTAACCGGTTACGGTCGGTTATTTGCAGTTACTAACCGGTTAGCAAATATGCTCATATGTATCTTAATAGATGTTATTTCTGCATATTCTAGCTTTAAAACGAGCCCAAGAACGCTAAAATCGGTGAAGAATTGACATATTTATGCAATTATCCTTGAAAGTCTACACATTTGAGTGATATTTTAGAGATTTGACTGTAACTTAGTCAAATTTTAAGCGTTTTCGACGTTCTCAAGTGCGTTTTGAAGGTGTATAATAGGGCTGGTTATAACCGGTTATTCCATTTTCGAAATCAACTAACCCTAACCGCGGTTAGGTTAGTGTTGCGGTTAGGTCCGGTTATTTTCCGGTTATTTTCCGGTTAACTAACCTAACTTTCAAACACTATTCCCAGATGTATTTTGGCATTGCCAGCCACCAAAACCTTTGGTTTTAACATGTAGGCAACACAATATTTCCAGAGATACTTCGGCACAACCAGCTGATGAAATCTTCGGTATTAATATCTATGTAGTGCACATATTTTCTGGGAGGCAACACAATATTCCCAGAGGTACTTCGGCACTACAAGCCAACGAAATCTCCGGTTTTAACATGTGTTGAGTGCACATATTCTTTGAGAGGAAACACAATATTTCCAGAGGGATTTCAGCACTATGAGCTGACAAAATCTTCAGTTTAACATGTGTTGAATGCACATATTCTCCGAGAGCCAACACAATATTTCTGGAGGTATTTCGGCACTACCAGCCAATGAAATCTTTGGTTTTTATATCCATTGAGTGCACATAGTCCTGGGAAGCAACACAATATTTCTGGAGGTATTTTGGCACTACCAGCCGATGAAATCTTCGGTTTTAACATGTGTTGAGTGCACATATTCTCCGAGAGCCAACACAATATTTCTGGAGGTATTTCGGCACTACCAGCCAACGAAATCTTTGGTTTTTATATCCATTGAGTGCACATAGTCCTTGGGAGGCAACACAATACTTCTGGAGGTATTTTGGCACTGCCAGCTGATGAAATCTTCGGTTTTGACATGTCAGATTTCAATTTGAGCCGAAGATGGCCTCATTTTTTGATGTCATGTTGCCTGATGTGGGAAGACTTACCAATCCACTGGAATACACCTGAATAGCCCACAGGGTATTGCATCGGGAATACAAGGAGGGTTTGAGAGCTTGAGATGCTCTTCTGGAGGCAATGGCACACATAGAGGATCAGTTGAGGCAGTTGGATACTATGGTCATGCCAAAGGAAGAGGAGCTTCAGATCAAAGCAAGGATTGAGAAGGCAGAGAAATCAGTGTCATAGTAGTGACCTCCCCCTGTGTTTGGATGTATCCTTTGGCCTACTTTTTCGTCGGTCCAGCATATGATTACATGTTAAATAGCAATTGGGCCCAATGTTGTGGGATATTTCACAATTGGGCCACATTATCTCACCTTAAGGTAAAAGCATGCATTGGGCCCAACTTTATTCAATAGTGTCTAGATAGCATTGGCCCATTGGGGTAGCTCTATGGTACATAGGTACAATTGACCATGTGGAGTACCATTGGACTATAATGTAACATATGAGTACTTGTGAAAAGTGAAAGAGAGGGA